TACACTCGTACTATTGATGATATTATACCTAAACTGTCTAATTCCAAGTATTTTTCAGTTCTTGATGCTCGCTCTGGATACTGGATGGTTGAATTAGAAAGTTCATATTTAACTACGTTCGCTACACCATTTGGGAGATTCAAGTTCAATAGATTACCGTTTGGCTTGGTTTGTTAGTCAAGATATTTTCCAGAAAAAATGGATGAAGTTTTTGTTGATCTTTTAGGAATTTCAGGTATTGCAGATGACATATTTGTATTTGGTGCAACTGAAGCATGATATTAATCTTAGAAATCTATTACAGAGAGCCAGAGACAGAAATATCAAATTTAATCCAGATAAACTACAGTTAGAAGTTACAGAGACTAGATTCCTTGGTCATATTTGGACACCAGACGGATTAAAACCTGATCCTGGCAAGGTTGATGGTATAGTCAACATAACAGCTCCTGATTCTAAAGATGATTTACATTCCTTTCTTGGTATGGTTAATTTCCTTAATCGTTTCAGTCCAGTTTTGGCTACGAACTCAGCTCCCTTAAGAGATCTTCTTAAGAAAACTTCAGTATTCCAATGAAATCCAGAACACGAAAAGTCATTTCAAGATATCAAGAATGAAATAGCCAGCTTATCTACTCTTACCTATTATGATCCTAAAAAGGAAAATATGATCCAATGTGATGCCAGCACTAAAGGCTTAGGTGCACCTCTAATTCAAGACTCTAAACCTATCTGCTACAAATCAAGTTCCCTAACCGAAACAGAACAACGGTACAGTAATATAGAAAGAGAACTTTTAGCAGTTGAATGGAGTTTAGAAAAGTTTCATCACTATATCTATGGTCGATCAGTTACTTTACAAACTGACCACAAACCACTAGATGCTATCTTTAGAAAGCAAATTAGCAAGTCCAGCCATAGACTTCAGAGACATTTGTTGCGTACTACCAAGTAGAATATATACCTGGTAAAACTAATGTAATCAAGATCCAATATTACGACGGCTCCAACAAGTCATCATTGATGGTTGGCCTGACGACAGATCTAAATGTCATAAAGATATCTTGCCTTATTGGAATTACAGAGAAGACCTCAGCACTGAAGACAATCTTATATTCAAGTGTTATAGACTAATCATACCTACTTCATTACGTCAAGATGCTTTAAAGTTATTACATGAAGGACATCTGGGCATCGAAAAATGTTTACTACGTGCAAGCAATCAGTATTCTGGCCTTGTATAACAGCTGATATTAAGAACATTATCTTAACTTGTGAATCATGTCAAACTCATCAAAGGCAACAATCTAGTGAACTCAGATTATGGAATTCCAGAAGTAATATTCTCGGATAATGGACCTCAATATGATTGTGCTCTGTATAAACAATTATGTGCAAAATATGATATTAATCATAAAACTAGTAGCCCAAGATATCCACAGAGTATCGGGCAAGTGGAAAGAACAATTCAAACTGTTAAAAAACTGTTATTAAAAGCTATGGAAAATAAGGAAGATCCAAATTTAGCATTGCTGAACTATCGAAGTACACCTTTGTCAAATGAATTGCCATCACCAGCTGAATTACTCATGGGAAGACAATTTCGAACATTATTACCTATAAATCGTAAATCTTTAAAGGTGTTACCTAATAAATCAACAGATAATTTTAAGAACAGTTTATCAAAGAAACAAGATTTGTCAAAACATTATTTTTATACACATAGAACTTAAAGTAGGACAATCAGTTAGTAGAACAATCAGTTAGATTATGGAGTGATGAGTCAAATATTTGGGAACCAGCTACTATAGTCGCTATTGTCGCTCCAAGATCATATTTAGTCAGAAATGTAAAAGGCAATGTTTATCGTAGAAACAGAAAATTTCTAAGACTTTCTGACATTGACTTCAATGTTCCAGTTCTAATGGATGATTTCCTAGAAGATGGAAATCTAGATCCACCAAATATTCAATCTAATCAACAAACCCAGCTCATGGTATTCCAAATCAGAATGTGAATGTACCATATAGAACTAGATCTGGTAGGACTGTAAATGTACCAGATAGACTTAATCTATAATATGTTTAGATAATACTGTGTATTGTGTTTGTTTTATTTCAGCATTAATCAGTGACAATTTGATACACCAGACAATCAGTAACATTCAAATGCTTAAGCTAACTTTAAAATCAAGGAGATTTTGTTTATTTTGTGTTAAGTGGTTCTGTATATTTCATTGTCTAAAATGTTTTCAACATTTCATTTCAAAGAGGGGAGATGTCACATTATTGAGTCTATATGATAAGCACAGTTTGAATATTACAAGGTTTATAGTAATGACGTAATTAACGTTACTAGTAATAGCGTTGTTGTATAGTCAATTCATGTGTTATATTATGGCATGTATTTCCTTCCATACATTGTTATGTAAACTCTAGTTAGAATGATCTCCCTTTGTTGTTAGAATGTAGACCAAGAAGAGAAAACCACGTTTATTTTGAAATTGCCTTTTGTTATGCTTTCTTCCCATCTTACAAGTACGAATACTATTCAATTATGTATCGAAAGTCCCGATACAACAAGCGTATACTCTACTGAGTATTATGGGATATACCTCGTGCAGTCTAAACAAAATGATTTGAACCATCTTCTGTTATATTAACATCTCTACCTGCCAATAAAGTTATTACAGTTCCTTATTTCATAAAAGATTCCCACATACACAATAGACGGTAAGAATGT